ATCAAATTTCTCCAAATATTCCCAAAAGTCCTTCTCCTTGTTCCTTATCCCTGCTACATTCCATGCCATTATTCTCACCCTTCTCCCTTCCTTTGTCTCTATACTTTTTCCCTTCTGTTTTTTCCCTCCTCCTTCTTGCCTCTTCTTGTTTCTCTTCTTTCTCTCCCTTCCACCTAGTTCCTGTTCTCCTCTGTCATATAAAAACTCTGTTTCTCCTTCACTAGCTTCTTTTCTCTATCACTCCATCTATACCACACTCCGTCTATTTCCAATTTTCTATAACGTATTATCACCTTCCTTCCTTGCTTTCTTAATTCCCTCGCCTGGTTCACTATATCTCTTTGAACCATTCTCTCTTCCCTTGATCTGTCATGCTCAATATATACCGGTTCATCTCCTAACTTCTTCTTATTTTGCATAATACTCTCCTTTTCTTCTCTCTTGCTCAGTTTCACTCTTATAATTTTCTTTTCATACCCCATCAGATTCGCTTCTTCTACCTTCACCTCTGTGTCCAATTTTCGCTTAAAAAAGGCCTCCATCTCTTTCTCCAAACCTTTTCTATCTCTTTTTAACCCCCTTATTATTACACATYTTTTTYTTTCCTCCGCYTCCCACTTTTCACATCTTCWTTCTACCTCTTTTACCCATYTCTCTACCTCCGTTTGTTTTCCTGCTTCCATTCTTAACTCRCTACTGCCTCCCASAACCCCCTTGTTTCCTTCTTTTGTATTKTTCTCCCATTCCTGTAATTTATTGCTCCAATCCTGTAATTTTTCCTCTAGTCTTACTTCTAACTCTTGACTTCTTCTCTCCCACTCCTTTCCCTTCCTTTCAATCTCCCTCGCCACTTCTTCCCTTATCTCCATCCTCAATTTTGCCACCTCTTGCTTTATCTCTCTCTCCACCTCCGTCATTTTTTCCATCATAATCAACATCAACTCTCTATCCGTCTTATTCGCATATTTTTCCTGTGGCCCCCCCATTACTGACCCCCCACCTTCCATTGCCCTGTACTTTTTTTTGCCACCTTCTCCCTCTCCTCCGGCGAATTCAACTCTCTCTTTCTCGATATCATCTCTCTTATGTCTCCTGTACTCTCTGATCTGTGCCTAGACCAGGTCAGCGCCCTGTTCGGTCTCCCTCTGTCCTTCTTCTTTTCCTCCTTTTCCATACCTACCTCTCCTGCGCTCCCTTCAGAACCTTTCTTTACCGACCGTCCTATCTCACTTTCCCTCAAACCACTCTCCCTCTCGTTGTCGTTTTTTGGCGCTTCTATCTCCATACGCTCTTCTTTTCTATACTCTAACCTCCACTACCTTTTATACTTCACTTCTTTTTCACCTCTACTTCTAACCAATTTCCACTCCTATTATCTCTTTCCACTAAGCCCTTTTTCCACCTCACTTTCCTCTATTTTTTCCCTCTATTAATCACCTTTACACTTATTCAAACTATATTTTCTCACACTACACCCACGCACGCTGTTTTCCCTTCAAGCGATCGACGCGCCTCCGTAAAATTCAGTTCTCACGATCTAATTTGTATTCAATGTCAGCCATTGCTATATGAATTTTATTAGTAACACATAATACGCATGGTATAATATCACAGGTAAGATTTTAGTAATAGAGTCATAATAATTGCTTGCTTATCATTTGCACCTATTGCGTGTTACTTTCTTACATGAATACGACAATCTCATAGATTGATAAATCATAATCGTATGAAATGAAAGAAAAAATATTATATAAACTAATGTCTATGTTTATTATGTATTGTTAATGTAAATGTAATAAAATTTATTTAATTGTTTTTAATTTGAATATTCAAACACTAAATATTATTGATAATTGCATCAACAATAAAATTAACGTAACAGAACAGAACCATGGAATGTTCGAAATAAATTACTTAAATTGTAAACAAATTTAAATTTTTTCTATTTTTTTGAAACGTTGATATTAAGGCATTAATAAAATAAAAATAAAGATTCATAAAATAATCAACCAGTATTTCAAGATTTCGATATTTCAAGCAAAAATAAGAAAAAAACACTCTATTCAAATTTTTAAGTCAAACGTTTTACTGTATTATCAATAAAGGTTCTTAAAATAATAAAATTAAAATATAAAAAGTAGATAAATAGAATAAAGAAAATTCATGGATCCATCGATTTATGGATAAATGGGTTGATATATCGAGGTCATCGGAGTAATTTGAAATCGTCACTGAGACCTAGTATCGATCACTGTGGTAACTTCGATCACCCCTCCAATAATCTACATATGTTACAAGTTAAAAAGAGAAAAAGAAACTCGGAATTATCCCGGTCGAGTCGGTGAAAGTGAGTTTTGTGCTCGAATCACTTGCTTGAACCTCTCTGAGTATATCACGAGGAGAACTCTTACCGGCAGGCTCAGTAACATCTTCACCATCCTTCAACTTCCTAACTCGAAACCGTTTGGCCAATAACCATTCTCGTTCTTTTACACAATTTATTAACTTATGATCGTGTTTCCAATTTATACATATTTACGTGCACACACACGCACATAAATATACAAAAGTATAAACGTAGCTACTGCTAATCTAATTTTTTATCTATTTAACAATTTTCAGTTTTAAGTAAGCACATTTCTCAATCGGGCGTTTAACAAATAAAATAAATAAATAAGATCAAACATAAAAAGAAAACAAAAAAATTTTCCTACATTTTAAATTAGTCAGTAAAGTTGAATAATTATTATAATTTAGATTATATTATTAAATTAATTGATTAATGAAATTGGTTAAATAAATTAATACATTTTTTGATTCTGTGTTTGTAAGTAAGAAGAAAAGAAATATACACAAGCACACATACGCATAAACAAAGAAGAAACAGAAAATTGTTAAAGGTTGAATAATAAATCGTCTATTTGATAATTGAAAGTTATTATACTTTAAAATTGTGTATTTAAATTAACAAGCAAACTAAAAGATAGTGTAAAATTGGAAAGTACAGTGAGAGTGTCGTGTCCTTGTAAGTTTTGTAAGATTTGTTTTGGCAGAAAAATCTGATATTTAGTCGCAAAGGTAGGTGTACATTTACCTTTTTGTTTTTTTTTTCAATTAATTATTAATAATCTTTCAATAATTACAAATGTGTATTGTAAAAAGAAAAAAAAAGGAATATATTACAATAGAAAGAAAGCTTTGATTGACCTAGCTATCCTTTCGAAGACATTTCACTTCGATGAAGTATAAAGCGAGAGTAATTAACCTTCTTCAAAGTGTTTTTACTTCTCTTTTGCCATCTCTCCCCTCTCTTTTCCTCTCTCCTTCTGTCTCATTCTCTTTTTGTTTTTATTCTCATCACGAGATCAGGGGAAAGTACGGAAAAAAGACAATAGAAAAAGAAAGACAGAGAGAGAGAGAGAGAGAGAGAGAGAGAAAAAGACCTATAGTCCTTTCACGTTATGAAAGGCCACCCACCGTCCACTTCCAAAGACGTGACATTTGTTCAATTTTTTCAACTAAAATCTCACAATAATTGCTTATAAAACAAATGTTATTAAAATGATTTTTAGAAAAGAGAAATCATTACAATTAAATCACAAAATTGACATAAATTGTTGTAAGAAAATAAAATAAACATTTTTGTTGGACGTTATATTTCGAAACATTTTAATACAAAATTTAATCAAAAGATCCATGATCTTTGGTGATTCATAAATTGACAATGAATTGCATGAGAGAAAAGATATGAAAGCAATGCATTTTTTAAATAATATATATAAACGAATAAAAAAAAATAGAAAAATAATTAAGTATAGTAAAAAATAAAGTAAAATATTAAAAATATAGTATTATTTTATGTAAATTTTTATTTAAAATAAAAGCAATAGATCTGTGGATAGATGATATAGAAGCAAGGTTAATAATAAGTTCAAAAATAATTCTAATAAAAAAAAGTAAATCTTTAAAATATGCTATTAAAAAAAAATTATTATTTTTTGGATTTTAATTGATGAATCCATGGATAAATAATCAGTAACAGATGATTTATCGATAACAAATTGCAAAGAATACGAAATGAAATATTCGGACGAACGTTTGCACTTTACTTGTCTTTCGCCTTAGGCACATCATTAAGCACATACCACGTGAATCAAAGCACGTCGAGCAATTTACCGTGACAAATTACTCTCTGGACATCTTGTTTAAATTTTTTTCTTTTTTTTATTCTCTCCCTCAACCCACGCCAAGAATTTATCTCATTCGTTACCTTGTTACATCGTTAAATTGCGTTCTATACAAAACTAAATAAATTCTATTTTTATAATGCAAAATAATTTAAAAAATTTATAGATACATATAATTATTTAAATACACATATTACAATTAAATGAGTAATTAGAAACAATTATTTTTGATTGTTTCGTACTATAACGTAATACAGAATATAATCAGTTTTTGGTCAAGCTGTGAATCCTTTACCAAAAAGTGACCTAAAGAATTGTAAGGACTACGGAAAGTGATGAGATATGTATGAATAATAGGAAGGGGGAGGAGGGCTTACAGTAGAAGATTAGTTAGTTTTCGATTACAATAGAGATAGAATATTAAAAATTAAAATAAGGACCTTTTCTTTATCGTAGGTTGCAACTGATTTTATTTATTAAATAACATGGACTTAGTGACTGAAATTTTGACAAAAAGTCTCATTGGTTTGAGAATTTAATAAAGAGACTATATTTTCAGGGATGAGATCTAGACGATATTCGGATCCAAGAATTTTAAAAATATGTTTCGGTCGATTGGAGGTACTCTTCAGATAATTTATATATCCTAAGAGCAATTGAAGAGAGTTAAGGTGTTAGGCCTTAAGACGTTAGGCCATATGAAACTTTTCTAACCATTAAGACGCGGATCTGAAAATATTATAAATCAGGTCTTTTAGACAAAAAAATTATCGAACGTAGAAGACGAGAAAAAAGAAAATGTCTTAAGACATAATATAATCATTCATAAGAAATTATTATTATTATTATTATTATTATTATTATTATTATTATTATTATTATTATTATTATTATTTTCATTATTATTATTATTTATATTAATCAATATAATTATTATTTTAGTAGAAAATGAAAAGAATAATTTTTAATTGTTTGAAGGTGACGATATATTATGTTATTCTTTATCTATCATTAAAAATCATTAAAACTAGAACATAGATTAGAATTAAAATTACAAATATACGATGCTATTTTACGATCTTGTTTATTGTCGATCACAACCACAATAATCGGTTATTATAGTCATATGGCATCTTTTTTTTTTCTTCTACTTAAGCTCGAAAGCGAGTTCTTTGTTATCTTAATTAGAATTGAATTACTACTTCATATTAACCGTTGCCAAAAATGATGTGTTTATTATAATCTACGACTTAACTAGTTTTACTTTTTTTTTTTAATATTTCATCTTTTATTTTGTCTGTCTCATTTCGCAATGAAATTTTTTTGATTTAGGTATTTTTTATTCTTTTCTTCTATAATAAGATTTTCAATATTTTAAATACTAACAATAACTTTATAGTCTTTTTTTTATTTCGACTTAACTGTAAAATTCACAAAAAACCGAATAAATATAGCTAGTTGAGAGTGTATACAAATTTTAGTTAGTAAAATCACTATAAATAATAATCGTATTATAATATATATAATATATAATGTCATTAAAATATTTTTTATAATATTTATATATTATATATTATAAATGATGACAATTATTATATAATTTTACTACATATATTGTAAAACCAATATTATTCTTATTGTTTTTATAAATTATGAAACGTAATATAATGTATAAATACAAAAAAGTATTATTATTATTAAAAATTAAACAAATAAAACTTCAACATTTAATAATAATTTATAAATTTTTATTAGATAATAAATAAAAAAATTAAATAAAAAAACTATTAAATATAAACTAATTTATAAATTCTTGAACGAAATAATATAAATTTTTAATATTATAAAGATAATTTTATACAAATATTATATTATTAAAATTACAATTTATTACCAAAAAAATAATTTAAGAACGTATAAAATTTCAATTAAAAAAAAATTTGTAAATAAATTGTTTATTAATTTCTAAATAATTTTCATTCGTTAAGCACAAGACAATACAGGATTATTCAAAACTTATAAATAATCCTGTGGAATGGTTATCCTTTTCGAAACTCTGAGTCTAATTTTTTTTCCAAATTATAAAAAGACCATTCTAAGACTTGTAACTTAACCATCACAAATACAATTAGCTAAATATACAACTTTAAGTATTTCGAAAATGAATAATTGTCTTTTTTATATTAGCATTAGGGAAACTTATTGTAGAAATAGATTGAGTAATAAGCAACCTTAAAAAAATGTAGAAATAATTAAGAAAATTCATTTTAAAAAAAGGAAAAATAATAGCAAGTATTATATAAATAATTGATTAGCTACTGTACTACATAAATTGTATTCAACCGCTGAGAAAAATAATGCACAAAGAGATTCGTTATAGAATATTAGATGATATATGATAATACATGTATATCATCGTGAAATTTCTTTCACATCGGTTGCCTTTTCGCACGTATCTTTTGCAATAAATATACTCAGTTCAATAATCGATATAAATAAATCGATTCATCCGAAATTAAATCCTTAAGAGTCTAGAATTATATCAAGCGATATTATTTGCTTTCTCATCTCTCTCTCTCTCTCTCTCATTCTCTTTCTCTCTCTATTAGTTTAATGTTTATCTCTCTCGTTGAAAGATGTTCAACTTTCTATAAAACGACGATTACCAGCAAATATCTTAGCCTTTTTTAATACCACGATTACTGGAAATTTCTTGGATAACGTTAAAGAAATAAATTTCCCATAGAATTCCCATTGACTTCCCATAAATTTTCTTTTTAATATAAAAAATTTATAGCTGAGCAATTCCACGAAATTATTGTTTTCAGATAGTAAGAATGTTAACGACCATTTATTTAATAATTAACCTCACAAACTACTCCGTTCCCATTTCTTCTTTCCTTTAGAGAGCAAAATAAATGGAGGAAAAGTAAAAGTAAAACGTCTCGAGAGCACAAAGCGATCAAACCAGCTGTTATTTCGTAAAACAGGGATTAAGTCACACCTCACTCCCAAAGTAATCACCTTGGTTCGTTATAAATTCTAATTACACTTATTGTTAACATTTTCTTTGTTCGTTCCTTATTCTTCTATATAGAAATAAGATACAATAATAATAATACATACTACGTTATAAGATTCCGTGTTGTATGAGGGATACATGTAATTATAATACATTTTTTGTAAAAGAAAAATCTAGTTTTACAATTATTATTATTTTATTATTATTTACAATATTTCAATTGGACTAAGAACAAATTGAAAATAATAATTATTTACAACCATTACATTTAAAACAAAATATTTTTAATGTATTTAAAATTTTCTATATAAATATTTCCAGTTTCTTTAAATATATATTTTATTTATTGGGTCTACTAGTAAGTCTCCAGCGTTTTTCATAAAATTTGAGAATTTATTCTGAAAAAATGGTTACATATTTTCTATCCCAAATATTGTCCATCGCAAGAGACAATTTTTTTCCATCTTTCTGGCGATTTGTGAATTCCGGACCAAAAAAAATTCTCGTCTTTTGAGCCCAAGAATGTATTGAGCCAATTTTTTATTCCCTCTAATGAAGTGAAGTGACTTCCCTCTACCGCATTCCGATAAGAGCGTTCTGTATCGAACACATGGCAGAAAACAAGTGGTTGAACATCTGCACTAAACAAGTGGTAGTCGGATGGCGCCAAATCTGGACTATAAGGCGGGTGAGGCAGAATTTCCCATCCACTATTATCCAAGCAGTTTTTGACCGAAGTAGCAACATGTGGTCGAGTATTGTCGTGGTGAAAAATTACGGACTCGTGCCTGGTCTGATATTCTGGCCGTTTTTCCGCCAATGCCCGCTTCAAACGAATTAGTTAGGTTCGATACAATGGTTCTTTGATGGTTTGACCACTCGGAAGCAGTTCGTAGTATATGACACCCTTCTGATCCCACCATATGCAGAGCATGACCTTATTCATGTGAATATTTCGCTTCGGCATCGATTTGGCCGGCTTGCGAGAAGCAGCGCTTCCCGCAAATGACGCTCATTGGACACATAACTTGCCATGTTTTTGCTTCATAAAATATACGATGCTGATAGAAATGCGCAAATATGATGATGCAATGTTGTTAACAGATATACAAGCTTCGAAAATAACACATGAGATGTGACATTTCTGCCCGGAATCTATTCGTGACACCATCTATTTAAAAACGCTAGAAACTTACTTGTAGACCCAACATAATTATTGGAAATAATATGAAAAGTTAGAGTGATCAGAAATAAGATTACCAATAAAACAATTTATAGGAAAAGAAAAAAAAAAGAAGTGAGTTGGCTGAGGGAGGTAGAGAAAAAGCTCAAAGGAAGCGAGCAAAACTAAATGAGGTAGAGCAGGTATCCGTAGAGAAAAAGAATATTGTATTATATTATATATTACATTATCAGTTTCAACGAGAATGAAGAAGAAAAAAAAGAGAAAAAAGAAATAGGAATTAGATAGAAAAATGAAGAATAACGATGTAGTTGTTTGAGAATGTTATAATTCGACTACGAAAACACACACACACACACTATTATTCGTACACTCTCTGACATGATTTAAAATCGTGTGAACCAGAGTCGTATACGCCGGATTGCACTTTTCACAGTTGCATCGTCAAAAAATCTTCGAACGTATTTTACTACACGACTTATTGTGTTGTGTAATACTATCATCGTTATAAAATAGAAAGAAAGGAGGAAATAAAAATAAAGAGAGGGAGAAATAAAAGTTATTTATAAAGGAAATATATGTTGCTTAAATTTCTCTTATCTTCTTTTTTTATAGTAAAGAGATATAGAAAATAAAATTACATACTTCAAGTATGTGTGTTAACTGAGAACAAGATACTATTTGTATTCCAATTAAAGGAAGAAAGAGAACATGACTATATATTTCTTTACATAGTATTCGTAGTTACTTGGTTTACAATTTTCTCACATGCAATCGTTAATTAATGAATAAAGAAACTTCTTAAAAGATTTGTAAAGTTCATTCAACATTATATTCACTCGTTATAAATCATGTCTATTTACGAATTGACATTATTTACCTATTCGAGTTATTTGTGTTTTAATAATACGTCATATATTATAGAATTGATATATGTGCCTTAATTATGATAGTGGACTAACAATAATCCAAAAAATTCTAAAAATTTATTTGATGCTTTATTTTATAGTATAAATTATTTTAATATTAAATTAATTGTAAAACTCATTTTTTCTTATTTTTGTACTTAATCCACTGTTATAATTACTAGCACATATAAATATTTATGTCGATCTCTATAATACATCTGTTTAAATTGTAGAGGTTTTTGAAAAACAGAGTAGAAAAAAGCCAAACAGCCCAATAGTGATATGATTTACATCCTTTAACGAAGTTGAGCTAACACTTTCAAAGATTCTGAATGTGTCGTTAATTGTTCATATCGTTCAAATATACTGGGATTTTTCGACATAAAATCTAAATAGCGTAATCGCGCTGCGTGAGACTCAATATGTTTACAAAATTAAATAATATGTATCACAGTTTGTGAATAGAATTGAAATTAAAATTTGTGATTCTGTCAATTTTGTGACAATAATTATGTAATTTTGTAAAAATATTAAATAAATATTTTTCTATCAAAAATTAAATTAATAATAACATTCAATTAGTATAAAAATATTTATTAGATGAACTTTTATAATAATGTTTCATGTAATAGTACAAGAAAAACTTAATTCAAATAAATGGAATAAATCAAAATCCTAAATTTAACACGAAATGAACTTCAGTCAAGGATGGATAGATATATGTATATCCATTTATTGCCGGTATATTTACTGGCAAAGAGAGAAAAAGAGAGAGAGAGAGCGATAAAGATGATTACAACAGTTTCTTCTCGTGAGGAACGTAATTAGAACAAGGCTATGAGATCCTACCGAGAACAGCGATTGTATCGTTTTGTTAAATGAGGGAGACCAGATAGAACGTTTGATTATGATGATGACTGACGTATAAAATTAAATGCTTGTTATATACAAAAAATCTATAAAATATTACGAAAGAAATCAAATTATTTCTATTAATACAATTTAAATCCATTTAATTTATTCCTTTGGTTTTGATAAAATGAATAAAATAATTTGTATTCTTAAGTTACAAATTTTACAAAATTTATCTTTTTTCTTGATCCACATGAGAAAAAAAATAAATTTTAAATTAAATAAAGATTAGTGTAATAATTTACAACAACAACTAGAATAACGATAATATTTAACAGTAAGACTAAAACATTTCCAAAAGAAGTCAAAGATTCCAGATATTTTGACTTGCATTTAACAAATCCATGAAAGAGAGAGAGTTCACACATGCTCGCCTATCGGTGCATCTATTTCGTTCTTTATCTCTTCATCTTTCTAGAACACACGTGACTATCGGACGTTGCATAATTCGAATATATGTGTGCAAGAGAATAAGCTGGGCAAAGTAACGAATGCATTCCATATGTTGTAGTAATTTTAAACAAAATAACGATTAACTTCCTTTTTTTTTCTTCTATAATATTTATGTATATGCATGATACACGATATCTATTTAAATTAAAATGTCTTTTATATTTTACTCAACGGTTAAATATTATTTCGACATTGTATTGCAGATAAACGAAACATTAGCGTATCTGACGTCAATAGGCAAAGTAAAGAAAGGTAGAAAGAATGCGATTACTCGTACAGATTTAAAATATTGGAGCCTAAGCCGAATTGATTGATCAAATCATCGACCGATTACATGTCGATTAAAATGAACGGCCACATGAGGAAAAACAATGATCAGAATAATAATAATAATAATCGTAACAATAATAATTGGTGTCAGCTGACATTGATTCTTGCGGCTTTATTATTTTCTGTCGCAACTGCTGAAAAGGTTTAATTGCTATCTATTTACTATAAAAAAACACTGAAGAAAGAGATAGAAAAAGAAAGAGAGAGAGCTCGTTTTGTTAAACTAATTAAAATTATAATATCTAAAATACCTTCATTTATACTATTTTTATTCAAATATTTATTTTTATGTTTAACTGTTATTTTAAAATTTTTATTGTAATAATATATTTTATATTTTTTTAATTTATTAAGAAAACTTTTGTTCTAAATTTTTACGAAGTAAATTATAATAAATTAAATATTATTAATTATTACAAATTTTTTGTAAGATAGAATATTTAAATTAAAATGACTTTAAAAATATCGCGTAATTTAAAAAAATCAATTTATTGAAAATTTGGAAAAATAATAAATTTTCTAATTTATAGTTTATAATATTTATTATTTTTCTATTTTTTTTTTCTTTACAATGTCGAAAGATAAATAATTGTTATTTAATCTTATTTCTCTTTCTCCATCTTTATTATTGCTAAGTATTAAAATATCTCAATAATTTGCGTGATTTATATAGAGAAATAGCATAAATATTTTCTTGGTTATTATAAGTAAATAAAACTTAAAAAAAAAATTTCGGGTTTTTTCAAATAAAAAATCATGTGTGCAGATCACACGTGTTAGAAGTGAAACCTTCAAAACACTAAGTTTCGAGAGAATGAGACGAATGCACAGTAGCAAGAGTAAGATAATTGTAGGATTTATTTATTATAATATTGTTACCATATGTATATATCAAAAGGCACCGGCATGATCTTGGGCTGGGGGTAGCTAACGAAAACTATCACTTTCAAATTGTATCAATTAAGATAGAATGCCGAATGCAATAGCCATAGATAGAAAAAGAAATTAAAGAATGTTTGTCGATTGAAAGATAAGCCGTCCTAACCTAAGTAAATATATTATATCCTTTTTCGTTACTCAGGTAGATGATAGTCTTTCTGTGAATTTTAGATATCTTTATTATCGGCCAAGATACACATAATTATTTTTTTTTTTGCAACTAATACCTTTAGATGCTTGAAAAAGAACAGAACAATTTTATTTGTATTTTTTTCGTTTCATCGAATGTTGAATTACGACGAGTATATAATCTATTTTTCATTTCCGTTGTTTTAGTTTATAATTTTTTTAACATTATTTAATTTTTTTTCTATTTCTTTAGAATAAGTTATATTATTGCATTTTTATTTGAAATATAATAACAAATAATATTTGTTCTTGTCACGTGTCCAGTTTCTTCTATTTAAAAATGTTTCTATTCTATTAAAAAATTAGTAAAAATTTCCTAAATACATAAAGATTATAATTAAAATAATTAAAATAACAAAGGTCACCGGTATAATCTCTGGGTGGAATAGCTAATAAAAACTATTCTTTTCCAAATTTAAGCAATGAAAATGGATTGCTGAATGCGATAGTCATAGATAGACACCAAAATCATAGGATGTTTATCGAGGGAAATATAATTGGACGTAAACTAAGTAAATATAAAATATCCTTTTTGTGAAATTCAGGTATAAAATTTTATTTGTTAGGATGGTTTTCGATTTCTTATTTTCATCTACATTTCTGCGCTGCTAACAAACATTTTAGGATAAACGAAATAAAGACGTTACGAAAAACATATGGAAAATACTGCTGGACTGAACGAAGGTTCTGGTAAAATGCAATGAGAGATCTAATAGAGATATTCTCTAGAAATGTTTTTTCAACTCTATAGCCTGCCACACTTCGAGATTCTTATTATTTATAACATAACTCGTTCTTGTTCCTTGAACCACAAACTTATCTTTCTAAATACTCTCGTCTAAACAAAGATCTGAACAACGAAAAATCTAAAAAATGCATTGAATCATATCGCTCTCTCAGCTTATCGAAGTGTGTACACAAGTCTTGAACTTGGGCCTTGTGATAAAATCCGCCAATTCACGCTAGCGTTCAGCCTGTTAAAAATGTTTTTATTTTATTAAATAATTAGTATAAGCTTCCTAAATAGGCAAATATTATAATAAATAATATAATTTTCTTATATGCATGGGTCAGTACATGTCTTTGGATATTTTTTATAAAAACGTATAAAAATCAAATTCAATAGACATATTTTAATCTTAATGAATCGAATATATTTTATGATGAAGCAAAATAAAAATGTGACAGTAATTTACTTACTTTTGAATGGAGTTTGTCAGCTGCTTCTAATGTATTCTACAGTGTTTAATTCTTTTTCTCTGATGTATCTTGTAATCATTGTTTTTTTTTTTTTGTAAAATATTGCAGACAATACGATATTATATTCTATACATTTCATAATTATTAAAGATAATAATTGCGAAATAAAGAATTTAATAATAATTTTTCAATAGAATAGAAACATTTTTAAATAGAAATAGAAAAATAGAAAAGAAATGACACGTATATATATATATATATATATATATATACCTTCCAGACTCACACATACTTACAAACTTATACAACTTACAAAGACAGACTTCACACCTTCTTTCTTTATTTCGACCGTCGGTTCGTTTAGACCTTATTCTTTTGTCGCATACCTACGTGCTTATCTCTGTTTATTTTTCTACCCTTCTATCGCTCTTACCTACAAACATTTTGAGTATCGAAATAATATGTGTCCACTCTTCGTAGTATGCAGTCGCATACAAGCACACACATATACAACCAGGAGCGATAACTACGAAACATAGCATAAAGAGGAGACCGAGAATAGGAAATACTGTATAGCTATATTCTGTCTCATTCTCTCGCAGACTCAATCCTATATGTTTGTCTCTTTTTCTCTTTTTACTGAGTATCATGGCCGCTGCATCGCTGAGCTGCATTGCTGCCATGTCTCATTTTTTCAAATCACCCTATTCTAAAGAAGTTTTCACTTCAAAAAGAAAACACAGTTCGTACGAAATCCTCAGGATTCTTGTTGCAGCAAAAACGTCAAATCTTTAGGGAACAAGTGTTACCAGCTCTGGGTGGGAAAATACCAGAGGAAGCATTCAGAACTGATCGTTTGGCACTAAATCGTTTAAACAAGGAAGGCATTTCGATACCGGACGGAGTTGTACTCGATGCTAGACATATTCACAAACATCCACATACTTCGCAACATATGCCTAAGATTATTAAAGTATTTCTTTTTTACTTTTTTATATTATTATTATTATTATTAATTATTTTATAATATATATATAATATAATATAATTTTATAATATTAATATTAATTATTATTAATTATTTTATATTATTATTATTATTATTATTATTATTATTATTATTATTATTATTATTATTATTATTATTATTATTACAGATACAGATACAGATACACTTTTAATTCCATGTTTACCCTCGCGGGTTTCAACATAGCCTCCTTGCTTATTATTATTATTATTATTATTATTATTAATATTATTATTATTAATATTTTAAATAGAGTATTGTATAAGTATTAGTAAAAAAACAATACTCTCAGCATTAAAGGTAGTTTTATTGAAAATTCCAGCATTAATCGTTGATCAACACAATAAATATTTAAATCAGGACACTTAAATTTTTCCGTTATTTATGGTTTAATAGATCAAGTTTTAAGAGCAAATTATACTACTTGTAAAGATATTTCTAAGCAAGTTTGATATTTAAATTTATTTTTTTTAAGATAAAAATAAAATAAATAAATATAATTTCTTAAAAATTTAGATGATATTCCCATGTACTTTATATGTGCCAGTAATTTGGAGAATTTACTTAACAATTTATGTATCTTGTAACATATTTAAGTTTTTTTTTTCTAAATTCATGAAATAAGTTGTTTATGTATTATTTTGTTTAACCTACTATGACAATTATATGCACATATAATAAATAAAGTAAACAAATAATTTGTATTAAAGGTATATCTGACTCCTGATGGTCGATATGTTCCACCCGAAGGTCGAACACACTATGACCGTCCGAAAGCCGTCGACACAACTTATATTATCCGAACGCCTTTCGGAAAAAATGACAAGCCACTGAATAACTTTGGAAATTATAAACATCATCGAGGACACAATAAGCAAGAACCGTATCCTAATCACAGACAACAATTTGTGCCGTTAATTCCACCTACCAAGCCTGGTGTCTACAAACCAATAGTGACACAATTAATGTTACCAGTGAATCCTAATATCTTGAATCAACCATACTTGCCTAGTTGGGATCTTGAATATGATTGGGACACTATTTATCGACCTTTCAACGATTATTATGTCGATAATATTGCTCTGTTTAATTCTCATCAGGTAACTTTCATTTTTTTTAATTGTTTATAAAAGGATAACTTATTTTTCTAATATAGTATATAACTATATAATAAACGAGTAATTAAAAAAAACGTTTCTTAATTAATTTAGACAATATGATATATTTTATATCTAATAATAATAATAGATTTTTCATAATATTAGAACAAAATGATAATAATAATAATTATTATTATTAATGTTACTATATTATTATTATTATAAAAACAAACTTTGATTTTTTACATTTTTATTCAAATATTCGAACGAGTTCTTTATTTCTCCTCTCGTTTTCATTATTTCTAAACAATGATACATAATCAGATCAATCGGCAAACGTATGTAATAGCTAGTACAGATGTTGCAAGTAATATATACAGACCGTGAAAGCTAACGAGTGCCACCGGCGCACCACAAGTACTATCACGGTACCATACACAGTTTTCTAATATTACCTAATTAAGCTAACATGAAAAGATATGTATGTTATCTTATACTAGACACGAAGAAACGAAAGAATAAGTACGTATACTCAAGCGTAATACCATCTATTGAGCATATAAATCTTCGGGAAATGATCACTTATTGTTATGATACGTTGATGATAGAGAGTAAAACCAAAAGTAAACTTTGTTTTTTATATAATAACGACAACATTTGCTTATATTGCTATAAAATTACAAAATATTACTGAATTTAAATACTATAAATTATTGTTTTGTATTCAATTTTGTAAGTACAATATTATAATAATTTAAATTCAAAATTATACTTTATAATAAAGTTTTAATTTCGGTATATTTATTATTTATTAGAAATTAGAAAAACATACTAAAAATAATCATTATTAATGCTACTACTGTATAATAAAAATTATTGATATAATTTTATACAAAATTTTCAACCATTATCTTAATAAACGTGGAGTACGTATATTTTACAGATTCTAATGGATTATCAAGGATTTCTAGACGAATTTCACGGAAGATCATTAAGACACGTTAGCAACAAATCAAACGACAAAAACAATTACAACAACGCAGATCGATACAAATACAATTCAAAAAATATTCCTACGAATAATCATTCCAATGATTATCGTAATATTGGATCAATTATATCGAATATTAGTTACACGAATCTCACACAAATTCCAGAAACTGGATTTTCCTGTCGCGGAAGAAAGGGTATATTTGCCGATGTAGATACCAAGTGTCAAGTAAGTTCGTTCAATGTATTAAATGCTTTTATTTTAAATTTAATGATTAGATAATCAATAATAAATTAGTCTGAAGATGGTCGCAGCTAACTTTCGAGACAATGTTTACATGATATACGCTTCAAAGAAAGGTCTTTCGAAACTTCCCATAGAAAATTTTTTGGAGGGAAAAATATATATGTACATAATCTCTACGTAATAAGTAAACGATCGGAAACGATTTGAAAAAGGCAAATCATTTGCATATATGTAATACGCGTATACATTAAGCGAAAGTAAATCAAACTAGCCGACTACATATTTGTTGTTTAAATAAATTCTTTGCCAAATAATATTGGCATAAAACATTTAAATATAACTATATACATTTTAACGTTTTTTCTTCCTTTTTTTCTAATAAAATAAAATACTTCTCAATTAAAATGTAGAAAAATTATTTTCTAGTTATTTTCAATAAGACATAAATTTAATTAGAAAATCCTCGTTTCAAAAAATTCTACATTAAAATTACTGGATAATATTTAATTAATGAATGTAATCGAATTAGGAAGTGAATTGAAATGAAGAAGAACGAGGAAGCATTTCATAGAAACTTTCTCTTCCTCCTATTTTCTCACCCAACCGCTAATACTACCTATATTCAGTATATAACTAATTATAAAAGATACGAAGATAAACTGAAGTTCTATAAATGTAAGAATGTTTGACATAACTCTTTGAAATACGGAATTTTTAAAAAATAATAGGGTCTCATACAAAAATTATATTATTAAATTTGATAAAGTAGATTTATTTTAATTATTTGTTAAATTTATATTACTTAAAACGAATTAAAACAAAATATTATCCATATATGCTACCATAAACAGCTATACGTCAAGTAATTATAACTTACCAAAATAGTATAAAAAAAATATATTTTATAACGCATATTTAAGTATAAAAAAGATGAGACTCTCTTAACTACAGCATGTTTCAAAAAGTTAAAAAAAATATCCTATAAAATGTAAGTAGATTCAGAGATCAAATGATTAATTGCAGCCTCCGTTTTCATCTTTTTCTCAGGTGTTTCATAACTGTTCGGGTTGGTCAAGAACGTCTTCTCTATGTCCTGTCGGAACGGCCTTCAGCGAGGAAAAAAACCGATGCGAGTGGTGGAACACCGTTCAATGCAAAAAATGACAAGTTGAATAAAAATAAAGATTGCTGGAGTCGAATTGACTGTCAGAAGTTTTACATTCTTTGTTGCGGATAAGAAATTATATAAAATTATCTAAGTATTTTTAATGATCCTCATTAGTCTAATATAAGAATTTATAATAGATTTTAATGTGTTAGATTAATGAGATACAATATTATTCAAATGTAAATACAAATAATTGATCTAACCAGTGTTATTAGTTAAGGAAAAAAAGATTAGAAGAAAGAAGAAGAAATAAAATTCTCGATTAATCTTTTTCTTGATAAAAAAAATCATCGACGAGAATGATACAGTATATATAGTCCGTAATTACAATTCAACATTGTAAGGCATTAAAATGAATACAGTGTTGCACTCCAAGAATCTTGAATTCGTAGTTATATAAAAAGTCACGTGTCACGTATGTAGAAGCATGACATCAGCAGTAAAAAAATATTCTGCCATAACGCCATAGCATAAAACGCATTATGCTACTCTATTATAATCGCAATATGCATTAAGATCTACGTAAATCTAAGAAATTTTGTACAAGTTACTTTTTTTCTATTAACAAATATTAATACATGTATAATCGTAATTTATTTAACTTTAAGCTTCACAATATTATAATAATAACCCGGGAGCTAGTGAAAGTTTTTTGCGACCAATTTTAACCCTGACCATAATTTGTAGAATGTTAAATTTAGTTGTGCTGGTAAAGCATAGTGACCGTCAACTGGCGCATCAGCAGTGGGTGGGCCAACAGGAGCACCGAAAACACGTCAAAAAAATTTTGAGTCTCAGTCATTTTAACCCGGCTAAAATTTATAGAGTTGATATAATAATAAATAATATAATTATATAATTAAAAACAGTCGTCAGCCAGCTGTACGTCGGTGGAAAACTCGTCAGCTGGCACAGTTATAGCGATATAGTTATATATAAATCAAGTATGCTGGCCGCCCGCGCTTTGCGTATCAGCTGACGAGTTTTCCACCGACGTACAGCTGGCTGACGACTGTTTAATTTAAATCTATTTAGACTTATTTACATGGAAATTACTCTTGTTTTAAAAAAATTAATTTAAAAAAAAATATAATTTTTTTTTAGTCTTAAGGTTAAAATATTATAAAAACACAACATACATATACAATATCATTAATACAATTGAATAAATTAAATTTTATCATAAATGAATTTTATCGAGGAACTAGTAATTTTAATTTTTATATAATTTTTTTCATTACAAAAATATTGATAATCATAACTAGCATAGACTCAAAATATATGCAAAATTTACTGTAATTGACAAAAGCGATCCCCAAATGTTGTACATTTCTGCCAGAATATGTGCTACGAACAATATCATTGTTTTCACTTATATGTTGAAAAGTGTCACCAAAATATAGAACCTATAAAGTTTTTTTCCAGGGTGCGCTGTAGTAGCTAAGATTCTTTAGCTCAACAATATTAAATAAAATCATTTGTTATGTCGCTAATAATCCCTGTTGGTTGATGCGACATTAAATAAAGCTACATAAAAAAAAAGAATCATTTGTACATACCTGAAATTATAAACAGATTTATGAAATTATTGCTTATCAAATTATTTATTTAAAATATGACGAACAAGCAAATTAACGAAGAAAGAAAAATATTAAATGATGTTATATGTATATTTTATATTAGCTATTAATAAATGAATTAATAACAATGAAAGATGACATTTCTTACTCAATGTAAAGTATATAACACATTTATAGTTCTAAATTTATAAAAAAATAGTTCAAAAAAATTGTTTTTCTATTTTAAAATAATGTATAATTAATAAAAATTATTTTTACTTTATTAATCAATCAACTTTGCAATACTTGTTACCATTTTATTAATTTACGGAAATTTAAGAAAAATATAAAATGAATAACAACTCCAATAGTAAATAATTAAATAACTGTGAAAATATTTATAGTTTTAACTTTTATGTACATAAAATTTTTTTATAACACAACAGTGAATGTATTCGTATAAATTATAAATAGTTGACAATAGTTTATATGTTTGGAAAATAACATAGACATGACCTATACAAATTTGGATATTTTACGTAATTTTTTGTTTTATTTTTTTTTCTTATTATTATTTTTATTTATATGGTTAGCAAGAAAGTGACCCTTGATAGTAATAAAATAATTTAATATTTTGTTCATCAACTTTGATTGGTGTTCCCTACAGCCTACGAAAAGCAGTTCCTTTTTCTAAGGAAACTTATGAACGCTAAGGCGACTTTATCAATAATTTCATTCGTTGTATCAAATCTAATAGTTTTAGTCCCAACCAGTTAAGATTTTGTTTTACAAATATGCAATCACGGAGGCATGCTCTACGGTTTTCTGTGACGTCACTAGGATCACACTGATCACCACGCCACCCTAGTGGCAGAAATAAATATTGGTATTTTGTAACAGTTTTAGGGGGCACAATTTATGACAAATTGCCTATAGCGTTCGCTCTCCTGTGTCTCTACCTCCGTCCTTATAGCAAAAAATATATAATAATATAGAACATTAGAAGTGCATTCTTTATGTAAAAAATTCATCTTAGTTAGCACCAAGACTACCAGTGGGCGATAGTAGATACTTTACGCGATGACAATACAATACTATCAAAGAATATAGTATTCCACCTGCTATCGTCTACTAGTACTCCCGATTCTAACTAATATAAGATGAATTTTTTACATGAAAAGTGCACTTCTAATGTTTTATATTATTATATATTCTTTGTTTATAGTAGAGTTCTATCTTACATACCGAGCAAAAATAGTAGGAACCTATTTTACTTACGGAGGTAACATAATAAAAATCTGTGAATAAAATCAAAGAATATATAATATAGTAGAACAGGAGAAGTGGCACTTTTCATGTAAGAATTCATCTTAGTTAGCACCGGGACCATCCAGTTGTCAATAGTAGGTACTTAACGCGATGATAGTAGAATGCTATCAAAGAACCCTACAATACTATTAAAAAAAATGTACGATACCATTAAAGAACAGTACAATACTATCAAAGAATATCATATTTTACCTACTAACGCCCACTGGTGATCCCATTGCTGACTAATATGATTTGTTACACGAAAAGTGGTTTTGCGATATTCTATATTCTTTGGTATTACTATATCATCTCTAACTTATACTATTTTAATAGCATAGCGGCAAGAATCAGAATAACAAATTCTGAGCTCTGTAAATATCCACATTACGTTGGTAGAATACCATAAAATTATTTCTTTTTCACTCAAATTATAATACTTGAATTGCATTATAATTTTCAACGGTGTTGGCATTCTCCTCGGACACGATCCTATCGTAATAAAAACAGAAAAACAAAATTACGAAATTCTAATCTCCCAAAAACGAATAAGAAAATATCAATCAAATTATTTTTTAAATAAAAAGATATCTATCCTAATGTAAATAAACTGATTTATACTTCATCAAATAAGATATAAATAAATAATATGAAGTAAATTAGAAAACAAATAAAGAAGTTCCAATTGAAACCATGTTTAAATTATTTGTATTATTTACGTTAGTTTTAGATACATGAATACTTATAATTAGATATATTTATACTTATACACATATGCAAGATAGCGTCACAAAATACATGAACATAACTTCAGGGGTAGTTTCATTGCGATAGAATAAAAAAAATTCATTAAATTGTCTGTTCGATTTGACTTTGTTTCCGAAATATAGTTGTTTTTCTATTAGACATATCATATAACAACATATAATAGAAAAAGAGTAATTCAGGAAACAAGATCATATTGAGCATATGATTTTATAAATTGTCTTGATTATTTTATCACAATGAAACTACCCCTGTGAAATTATGTTAAAAAATTTTGAAATACCCTATATACGTGTATATATAAGTGTATAAAGAAATATAAGGTGGGGGTAAGATGGATGGAAGGAAAGGAAGGAGTTAGTTTCTGAACTGGTGTTACGGAACAGACAAACTTTCTCTCTCTCTCAACTGTGACATAATTTCTTACTCACCTGACAGAGTGTTCTCTCTTTGCGGTTCAACAGAAACTGGACTAGTTTCGCTTATCATCAAACCCGGTACGGACATGTTAAGTATTAACGGTGTCCTTGTTGCGCTTCTTATCGCCACCCTTGCGGTTGTCATCGTATCTGACAGCGTCGTTAAGCAGGTAAATAATACAAAAACAAGCAAAAGAATAATAAAAAGAAAGAAATTAAAATTCCAATTCATCCAATTTCCCTCATCGTCGTGATATTATCGCATCATTCATTTTATTAAAGAAGTAAAATTACAATTCATGATGAGAACGTTAAAACCACTGGTTGTATTTCATGAAATATGTTTACGATTGCGAAGAAACCATCCGGTGAGCCTAATGAGTAGAATAATTCGTTTGATTTTTAGCGCATAATTCTAATTAGTTTGTACAGAGGACATTCATTTTTACATTTACCTTATCCTATGATTTTTATCTTTTTTCCCAATTTTCCTTCGAATGTAATAAGGAAAGAAAAAATAAATTATTGTAAGATTTGTTTTAGATCATTTATCACCGTCAAGTAGATATTATAGTATATAATCAAATTTTGTTCAAGTCAATTAAATAAAATATTTATGACAAAATTGTGACGAAAAATTTCTTTACCTTAGCCTGATGAAGGCTAATGTAAGTATTTTTGTCTGTCGCAGTCGCACTTTTTATAAATTAAATTGATTTTATTTTTATTAACGGATTTTTTAAAACAAGTTAAGAAAATGGTTAAATCTTACGTTTTTGAAGAATAATGAATCTTTACGTTGAATGATATATGTGACTTCTATTATTGCTAATGATGATTATATTGTTGTTTTTTTAGAAACGAACAGCGAATTTAGACTACTACGACGATGACTATCAGAATTTTCAACCCGTGGTAAATTTCCGAAAGCCAATCGTCGTTCCAGAATTTCCAAAAAAGGATCAGCAAGATTTAAGTAAAATTCCAGGTATACCTGGAGTAGACTACCCGATCTATCACAGTGTACCAAAGACCAGTTTCTCTTGTGCTCATGTACCCCATGTACCAGGAATGTACGCAAATGTAGAGACCGGTTGTCAGGTAAATCAATATCTTAATGGCCTTACAGATTATTCTTTATCAATATTGTTGATAAAGTATTGTTGATACTGTTTTTGTTTTGTATGAAAACTTTAAAACTGTCATCATTTTTTTTTCTTTAAATAAAATAAACGATAGTCAAAATTGTGATTCTTAATTGTAAGTTCTCATATTAAAGTTATAACTATCAATTATAACCAACTAATTAACAAAATATAGAAGAGATAAAAAATAAATTAGAACATAATGATGATTGAAATTATGTATAAAGCAAAAAATAACTGAAATAAAATAAAATGAAGTGTAAAGATAAATATAATTAAGTTCTTAAAAACCATATAACTACAACCGTCAACTATAATAAAATAAAATAAAAGAACAAAAAAAGACAAATTGCCTAACAATTAAAAAATAAGTGAAGTCACGAACTAAAATACAATATAAAAGAAATTTTGAAAGAAATTTTGTAAATCAGATAAAAATTCGACGATATAAATTTGAGAGAGCGTAAGAGAGCGTACGCTTAAGAGTTTGAAATATTTCATCATGTTGCATAAGCCTTCCGGGAACTTGGAGATTGAATTACCAACATTATTAAACTAAAAAACACGTCTTGAATCAAGGACTCCAACAATGAAAGTCCATATCATGCTAATATCGAAAAGTATACTATTATATATTACATTTTAACGCATATTAACTTCGATCTATTTATACTCTAATATCTATGTACTTGTAGGATTGATCTAACAATAATAATATTTAATATATATATATATATAAATTTTAACGTTACGTTGTTTCACTTGGAAACATTTTCTTTATTCTCTTGAAGCAACTTCAACAAATTACCAATTCTATCTCATTGTTATAATGTAATTTATCAAAGCAAATTACCAAGTATATCACAATAGATCGGAAGATGAGAGAATTTTCATTAAGAAATACTTAATTTCGTTTGAATCCTTTAATTATATCAATTATTTAACAGTAATTTGTATAATTCTTACAATTATTTAGTTTCATTTAAAGTATCTTGTAAAAGTATCTTGAAAAAATATATTAACCCTCTCTGACGTTATTGTACTGTTGACGTTATTGATCTGTATAAATTGTTTTTCTTTTACGAGAAAACGGCACTTAAAATTACACAAACTCGATGCAACTTTAGATACAAAACTTCAGAAATCTTCGGCGGAAATACATACGGTTTGTTGATAAGTTATTTATATATTACTCTTATTTTTTTTCTTTTCCATAGGTAGCTTTTATGAAAATATCCAACGTTAGTCGGGATAATTTTCTTTTTATTTTACCCAAAACAATTAATTCGAATTTTGCTTAAGCACCAATGATAATCACATATAACACATTTCATTTACAAAGGTATGAAAAATAAAAAAAAAGTAAAAAACAATCATTATCGACGTCATAGATCGAAATTGCAATTGTTTTTTATTCTTTTTCTTTTCTCTTCTTATTTTTCTAATTTTTATATTAGACGCTGATAAGAATCCACAATACTGTGTCGATTTGTATTATGTAGTTCTCTTTCAGGAAAAGTAGGTATATCTTACTTTTATTGTCCGACCGATCGAAAAACTTTCGATGACTTATCTTTAATAACAAAAAATAATAATAATAATAATTAAATATGTACAAAAATAAGAAAAAACAAAATAAAGAAAGAAAGGTGAAAAATGTGGCATTGAGATCAATCAAACGAAGAAAGAAAGAAAAGAAGAAAAAATACATATTTACCCAAAAGGAGAATAAACTTTCGCGATATTTATCAGAACAACATTAGAAATACTCAACAACTCTCTCCAAATCACTTTCCAATTTCTTGGTACCAAAATTCTTATCCCTTTTCGTGGCATCGTGAGCTCAGTGAATAATCGGATAAGCAGAGCATATAATTATGAAGCAACAGTCAGGAACGGTTATTCCTGGTAGTAGGAAGAAAGTGGAAGAGAAACAGTCGTCGATGTTAATTCAGTTAATGAAGGACCCAGGAAACTCTTCTATAATGCGACTTATGACTTACAACATGACGAACGTTATACTTTTATGATTACATACATATGTTACTTAAGAAATCATATTTTATACGTAATACCTTTGATAATATATTATATTAAATTTTCATTTTTTTTTTTTCATAAAAAAAAACCATATTTTTTTCTTGTTTCCCTTATTTTTATACAAATTGTGTGTTTAATTTTTGTTGTTGTTTCTCATCGCAATAAATTTTATTGAAGATTTTTTGATATGACTTATAAATTACACAGCGCGGCGGATGATATAATTTAATAGTTATATACTTGCATATAATATTTGAGAAATAATTCTTATACCTAACACCTCAGACTATATACAGGGTGACTCACTAATTCTTGCCAACTAAATAGCCCCGAAAGTATGACAGTAGCTGAAAAATTTGTTAAAGTAAAGTTACATAAAAAATTCAGGACTATAATATGACATAAATTTTTTTTTTGCTAGATGGAGCCGCCTCTGAGATTTAATGATCAACACACTTTGTTTTTTTAAATAAAATGTTATATTTTAATACTTATTTTTTTTCTGATAGCGGATGTCAAGACGAATCCAATGATATGTAACATTAATATTGTCGAATATCAACGAAGGTCAAATCTGGCGAACAAGTTTGCCACAATATAGCTCCTTCGCGTTATTGTCGCGTTAAGGTTTCGTCAGGATTGCGTCATCCTTTAGTTGTTAAAGGACAAAAGACTGAACAGATATTTTCCGAATAGTCTTTATTAGTCATTGTCAGGTTTTGTATTTATTGTTGCATATCATTGGATTCGTCTTGATATCCGCTATCAGAAAATAAGTATTAAAATATAACATTTTATTTAAAAAAACAAAGTGTGTTGATCATTAAATCTCAGAGGCGGCTCCATCTAGCAAAAAAAAATTTACGTCATATTATAGTCCTGAATTTTTTATGTAACTTTACATTAACAAATTTTTCAGCTACTGTCATACTTTCGGGGCTATTTAGTTGGCAAGAATTAGTGAGTCACCCTTTATATAATATAATAAATTTAATTTGTTTTTTAATTTACAGGACTTTTGTTTTTTACTTTTTATTCTTTATTTAATATTTCGGAAATAATGTAGACAATTGATCAATAATCGATTGATCTCTGATTCTTATTTTGCGATAGAATTTATTAAGTCGATGTGTGTTATACCTGTAATATAATACCTTAAACATCCAAACGCACGTGTGTATAATATTATATTTACGGTCATGCATCGCAATTTTACTTTCCGCAACGTCAAACTTTCTTCGAGAAGAATGTCACCAGTTTTCTCTCCTCGTTTACTTTTTTCGAGACTCTTCAGCAACATTTTTTTTATCAATATTTCGTATGTCTCTATTTTTATACATTTTTCTTTCAATTGTTAGAAAAAATAATTAAAATTACAGTTCCTTATTTCTTTTTAATAATCAAGTTTTACAATCTTTGATTAATTTTTATTTTTATTGATATTTTCTACTCATACGAATAAATCTGGTTTTTTTTTAATTATCCTATTTGTTAATAATATACATTTTATTAATAGTATATCTTTAATTTGAATTTTAATTATAAATTATAATAAATAATTATCATTTTATAATTTGACATTTATATTTGATTATATTTTAGGCGTATCACATATGTCACGATGGCAGAGAAGGTTCGCAAGGAGCCTCGTTTCTCTGCACAAATGGTACTCTCTTTAATCAACAAGATTTTGGTTGTGATTGGTGGTACAACGTTAATTGTGCTTTAGCGCCGCAATATTATAGGTAATTAGTTAATTTAATCATCAATATAAAAAAACGAGTATTGTCAATTTACAAGCTTTTTAAACAAAAATCCATAGATATTTTTTCTTTTATTTTTTCGTCAATGCATTTAATTTTATCTTCACTATAATTACTTATTTGTTGTACGTTATTGTTCAATCTAAATATTTCGGTTTTTTATTTTTATTTCAGATTAAATTCGGATCCATTGACGAATCCTTATGTGTCGAAAGAAGAAAAGGATGCCATTAGACAGAAATTAAATCGCATCGTTGTTCTGTAATTTATAATTTTAAATAATGAAAATATTATAAAATTTGTTTTTAATTCATTAGAAATTGAAAATTTTTAATAAAATCGTAATATTTCTATCAAATATAGTAGTTCCTAAATTATGACGCAAAATTATTTTTTGAACAAAATTATATACAAATTCTAATTACATTTTTAACTTATTGCAAAGTTTATACAAAAAAACATATATTTAAAGATAAAAATAATAGAATAGAATAAAGTAGATGCGATGATTTAATATTTTAAATACAATCTATATATTTATTTCTATTTCTCTTATATTTTGAAAAAATATGTTTATCACGTTGTACAATATATATTTGTATAGAGGGCTTACCCACATAACACGAAAGATTTTAAAATCTTTCAGCGAAAGTTTTCGTAAAATATTTCCAAAAAATCTTTCAGAAACCTTGCAGGCATCATTCTAAAAAATTTTGAAAAAGATTCATAATAGATTTTACAAAAATATTTTAAAAACATTTCTAAAATAATTTGCTGATAGAGTAATTAAAATGTTTAAAAATATTTCTATGAAACCTTGCAGAAACCTTGTAAAAAGATTTTATAAAAATATTTCAAGAAAGTTTGTAAGAATATTATTAAAAATATTTCATAAAATGTTGGAGAAAGGTTGTCAAAAGTTTTTTAAAATTATTTTTTAAAAATGTTTTGTAAATCTTGTAGTAATCTTTTAAAAAATATTTCTCAAAACATTTTTAAAAACTTTCGTGAAATCTTTTACGATATGTTTTGGAGAAATTTCTAAAATATTTTTTATAAATATTATTTTTTGCAAAAACTTAATGAAAAAATATTTCTATGAAACCTTGCAGAAACTTTGTAAAAAGATTTTATAAAAATATTTCAAGAAAGTTTGTAAGAATATTATAAAAAATATGTCAAAAACATTTCAAACATATTTATAGAAACCTTTAAGGCTGGCGATACATGTAAACGCCTAAATTTTAACCGTTTTTCAGAGGCTTATTTAAAATGGAAAGAATAAATGAATCGTTTTGAAACTTAGCATGTTTATTCATTACATATTAAAATATAAGAATCCGATTTAAAAAAAATTTTTTTTTAAAATGGCCGCTGTAATAACCAATCTCCTGAGGCCCTCACGGCGAAACGCATCAATCATGGTAATTTTTAGCTTTAGTTACAGCACTCTAAAATTAAAAAAAAGGGTCGGAG